TTCGTCACCCGTAATTAATTACGTAATTACGTTTTTAAAGAGTGAAAGTGGTAATTAATTACGTTAATTACGAATTATGTATTTACGGTAATTAGCTAATTACCATATCATGTATAGTCAAGCCCTTGTTGCCAAACAAAAGCATAATATTAATAGAGTAAATACAAGTCAAGTAAACATTCATTATAAATATCATGACTCTTACCTGCCCAAAAAATTCTACTAGAAAATCATGTGTTTCATTGGGAATAATATTATCCAAATATTCTAGTGATAAAAGGTATTCTTTGTACACATCTTTAGGCAATGTTCTTATAAATGAACCTTTTGGTGTCAGATTCATTATATTAGCAATCGCCAAAGGATCCTTATTGTCCTTCTTGTAGTATTCAAAATTTTCAATAATAACCTTGAAATTCTTGTTGATTGATATTTCTTTACAAATGATTCCCTCAATTTTAACCTAAAAAAAAATATTTTATAATTGCCAGAATAAGAAAACTGTCCATAAATGAAAAAATGTATTTTTAATAACCAACTTCAATATCATCTGATTCTTCACTAGAATCAATCTCTTCAGTAGAATTAATTCCTTCAGTATTTTCATTAGTCTTTTGTTTTTTGGCTATATCAGTTGCTAATTCCACATGCTTTCATTTCTCAATATCAGCTATAAGGTTTAAGCAACTAGCTTCATTCAATGTTCTAGAGTATGCCTGATTTTGCATTATATTCTCAATGAGTCCCGCTTCCTAATCAGTGTTAGAATACAGAAAAAAAGTTTTTTAATCAGATTAACCTATCTGAATGTTGGCCACAGTATTTATTCATTGACTCAATTGGGTTCCAAATTTTGTCAATGGTAAAAAACAATGGTAATTTAATCTTATTTGAAGATGTAATTTACTTACAGATGACAATGTGGAAGTTCCATTATTTTCCTGTAGTTTAGAGATTGGGATTAATATGAAAAGCAATTAATCAATCTAATCAAAGAGAATAAGTCTAATTAAATTATTATTACTTTATCATTTTGATTGTCAAGTATTGGTCGTTTCTTTTTCCAAAAGAATAAATAATAAATCAGAAACTAGAGTAACAACGAGTGGCAGGTAATAACCACCACCACCATCCTTAAAACACTTACCCTTTTTCTTCACCAAGAGCAGTTTGTCTGCTTCTTAAGTTTTACAACACTTTGGTGGCATTTGAAAAAAATATATGAAAAAGAAGTTTGTGATTTGATCAACACGTACACATTAATTATTTGTCATATTGGTTTTTTTTCTGGTAGGACAGATGCGAATTGATTGATTTTTTTTTTTGGAAAAACAATTTATTTTTTGACAGAGTCCAAGGTGACAAAATGTGAGTGTTGTTGTTTGGTTTGGTTTGTGTCTCCTAAAGAAAATGTGTTAATAACTAACCAGAGGTACTTTTTTTTACTTGTATTGATCTGTATGAGGTGTGTATTTTATTTTAGCTTATAAATATTTTAATTGGAATCAAAATGCAGAGCAGATCTTGCTGGGTAATTACAAGATTTTCATTGATAATATTTTGCTTTTAGTAATCGTTAATAATATTAATATTACTATATAATTACAAGAAGATGTCAAGGTGGCATGACTGACTGTTGAAAAAGAAACATTTTGAATATGCAATGTTTGATTATCAGAAATTGGCAGGTGTTGAAGCACGCACGCTAACTTGAACACTTACAGTCATTCTCTCATCTTCCTTGTGTACATAAGGCTAACCTGACTTGATCCCCTGATGATACAATGGTGCTACCAAATTCCAGGGGGGAGGTAGCAATGCCCTGGAATTCACTGAGACTGCATCAATCGTCAATGATGCTTTTCACTAATCTTCCCAGACCAGAGAAGGCCACTGACATGCTGGCTGAAAAGTTGCTTGCAATGATCCTACTCTAGGGTAAGGATGGCTCTGTGTCCAAGTTGCAACTCTGCTGATGAATTGTAGTTCCATGTAAATATCTAGATCGATCTAAGCAAAGAGAATCTGCAGCTTGTTTCAAGTACCAGGAGGTTACCATTCAGAGCAGGATTTGTGGCCCTGAAATTGCATTTGGAGTCTGATGTTAAGAGGAAAGTTGTAAAATAGTGTTTGTTTTGTATAATCACTTTCATAAATTCTCTGTTTCTCTGATACTAACCAATTTAATAATTATGGGTAGGGGACTGAATGGGGTTTTTGCCCAATCAGTCCCCTGTTGTATAGATTAAAATTATTGCATGATTATATACATCTTTGTCAGCAATATGGCCAACAACAAAAAGTCATAAAATGGATCAGATTTTGGTATGTTATGTTGCAAGTTAATCATATTCCCATAAATTTTCTGCATTTCTTTAATTTTTATTTGACCAACTGAACTTGTTATTTAAATCAACTTTATCCTAGTGAGAGAGGGTGATAACACAAAGTAAGCACCAGCCATCAGTGATTAATGCCCATATGGTAACAGCCAAGCCTGGTCTGAGGAAAAGATAAGGGAATGTATTGTCCAAAACCTTCCAATTTGTTCAAGTCACTTTCACCTGTGGAAAAAATTCCATGGTGCTGGATTGATGCTTTGCATGGCGCTTGCATGTTTGTGATAGGAAATTTCAATTAAATCTGACACCTGCAATCAACATCAGATTTATTATTCATAAGGAACCATAATTGATAATCATGAAGAATAATTTATTATTGTGAATCCTAGAGATCTGGGTAGACAGGCATTATTAAAAGTTTCATTCATTCATGGTCTTGGTATTATTACTACCTGGGTGATGCAATTGTTTGTTATGTCAATTGTAATATCAAATGTATTGCATAATAATCATGACCATCATGAATATTTGATGGATGGAGGCATTCATATACAAGGAAATGATTAAATAGGTAAGTCATGTTTGCTTTATTAAAGATAGATAATTAATTATACAATATATATAATCTATTGGTTCTCTTTTACTGGTTGAATGATGCCAAATTGGGTATTGGCATACTGATAAGTTGATAATATTTTTAGTATTTTTATCATATGGTCCAAAAGCCTATTAGTAAATATTGAAAGCACCAATATTTATCTAAAATTAATAATATTTTTAGTTAATTATTCACTTAATTTAATAAACCAATGGCTCTTTTATTGGTTAAATATTTCTAAAGCTCTTTGTACTAAAATAATATCATAATCTTGAGTAGTAGTTAGTTGAAAAATAATTCGAGTAAAACGAATAAAATAAATAATGAGTAAAAAATAATTCAAATAAAGCGAATAAAATGAAATTTGTATTACGAATAGAAACCATTCATTAATATTAAAAATCAAAAAACAACAATAAATAAACAAACAAATAGATTTTATTGCGAAATAATTAATTTTGTTCTTTTGGGTGTTAATAATGATTGAGTCGACCACACAAGTAGTAGTCAATTTAAACAGCATTGTTTTAAAAAATTTATTCAAAATAATATTATTAAATGATTTTTAATGTTGCAAATTTTTTTCTTGATACATCAATCTCAGTCCAAAATCAACCACATTTATATACTTTAAAAGTTTTTTTATTTCTTTTTTTGATAAATAATAAATTTACCCCTTATTTATTTGTTTTAATAGATTCAAATTTATTGGATCAAAAATGGTATATACACTTTCGGAGAATCAATTACGCGGTAACACACATAATTAATTGAAATTCGATTCTATAGGAATCAAACTTTGCACGCATAATTTATAGTACTAGACCACAAACCACGTTATTACGTTTCTTTGGTTTAACAGGATTGACTATGTAGTTGTGTACTTTATTATGTTAACTCTAAAATAAAAAAATCGGTTTTACTGCTTTAAAAAATAAACAGTAATTCTATCTAAAGTAAATAAATTTATTTGTTTATGCGTTATAATAATTTTGGATTTCCAACAATTGTTTGATTTTTTTAAAAAAAAATATATATAAGAACGGTTGATGCGTTTTATGCAAGATACTTCCTTGTTTGCATTTTTTTGATCAAAATTGGCAAGGGTTTTTATAACAAACTGAACCAACTTAACATCCAGCTCACTGTCATCTTCTTGATCTCTTTTTCTTAGACATTTTTGTTTTTTATTTTTTAAAAAAAAAAAAAAAAAACACGTAAAACAAAATGATTATTATTGGCGCTTGATGTTGTACAAAGATTTTTTACACGATTTTTTTGGAAAACAAATTTATTTTTTGACAGAGTCCAAGGTGACAAAATGTGAGTGATGTGAGTGATATTGTTTGGTATGATATGGTTTGGTTCTGAAGATGTGTTAATAAGTAACCAGAGACACTTTTTTTAAGTTACATTGATGTTTTTTAGTTATTATAAATATATATTATTGAAATCAAAACGCGGGCAGATCTTGCTGGGTAATTATAAGATTCTTTGTGACGATAAATAAATGATTGATATTTCGTATCGTTATTAATATTAATATTATTATAATTAATTACAAGATGTCAGGGCAGCACACCGTTGAAAAAGAAGCATTCTAATGTGATGTTTGATTATCGGAAAATTACAAGTGTTGAAGCACTCATGCTATCTTGAATACCATACAGTCATTCTCACACATTCCTCGTGTATACAAGGCTAATTCGACCAGCCTCGACCACGGATAAAACTGAATTCCAGGGGGTCAGCGCATGGCCCTGGAGTTTACCAATACTCCAAACATTTTTACTAATCTTTTCTCACAGCACCATGCCAGAGAAGGCTGTTGCCATGTTTTGCCGAAAAGTCACTTGCAACAATCCTACCTCTAGGGTAAGTATGACTCTGTGATATGTCACGACTATAGAGGTTGCAGCATTTTGAAGTGTTGTAATATTAGGTACGCATAAGCATCCAGGTCCATCAAAGCAATGAGAATCTACGACTTGTTTCAAGCACAACTCGGAGTAGGGTTGGTGACCCTGAAATTACATTTGGGCTCTGATGTTAGAAGAAAGACTGTAAATAAAATGTTTCGGATTTTGATTGGTATGCTATATATTAATATAAATTAATCATTTTCTGTTTATTTAATTTTTATTTGACCAACCCAATTTGTTATTTTTTAAATGGGGCCTTTGCCCATATAGTCTCCTACAAGTGGTAGTTACCCCTATTGTGATAGTCACTGGAGTCAAGATGAAGGCGTAAAATAAAATAGTTCAGATTTTGATTGGTATGTTATAGATAAATTAATCATTTTCCCAGATTTTCTGTTTCTTTAAGTCTTATTTGACCAACTGAATTTGTTTTTTAAATGGGGTAGGGTTGTTGGTGAGACCAACAAGATAGCAACCCAGGACTCAAAACTCTGAATCCAGGGAAAATCTAAAACAGCAACCCAGGTTTCAACCTCTCAATTGCAGACACTGATTTTATTCTAGAGGGGTATAATACAAAGCAATCATCACACAAACACTGATTCTCATCAACGATCAATGCCCATATGTAACAGCGTGAGAGAAAGATAAGGGAAAGTTTTGTCCAAAGCCTTTCAACGTGTGGGGTACTTCAATTGTGGAAATAATTCCATGGTCAAGTTGTGTGTGAAAGCACGACCACATGTTTATAACAGGAAAATTTTAATTAAATCTGACACTTGTAATCAACATCAGATTTATTATTCATTCTAAGAACCATAATTGATAATTAGAAAAAATAATTTATTTTGTGAGCCCCAGAGATC